TCCTATTCTATGTCTTCCCTCCATTCCCTTTAATTTCTAGGGTACTGGCCAAGATTTTAGCAGAGAAAACATGGGGTATATTAGTGACCCCTTCTGGCCAAAACAGGCATGGTTCTAAACACTATAGTAAGTATCTATTGCTTAAGCTGGAGGATTGGGTCTCTGAGAACCACATAATACAGGATTCAGGAAAAGACTTTCCACCATCGACCACTACCTTACTCTTCACCAATTGGCTTATGCAGGTTTAAATGGCCCCACAAAATCTCTATATGTAGCTTTCGTGGACTTAGCCGCTGCATTCAACTCTATTGATAGGAACAACTTATGGCAAATATTGGCAAAACTGAATATTGATAAAAGGTTGTTATTCCTGTTACGTGAGCTGCACACAGACATCAGTGCCCAAATTAGAGTCGGAACGTCAGGGTCCTTAACTAACAAAATCCCAGTACATAAAGGGATGAAGCAGGGTTGTGTGCTGGCCCCATTATTGTTTAATTTATATATAAAAATTGTTGACAGGCTATCGGGCCCACAATTCTTTCCAACTACCCTGTTGTTGTTCAGTTGCACAGTCGAGTCGGACTCTTCACGACCCCATGGACCAGATCACGCCAGGCCTTCCTGTTTTCCGCCGTCCTCTGAAGTTTGCTCAATTTCATGTTTGTTGCATCTATGACACTGTCTAACCATCTCATCCTTTGCTGTCCCCATCTACCCTTGGGGAGCATAAAATCTCAATTTTACTTTATGCAGATGACATCACCTAATATCACTTACTAAGATCGGGATGAGAAGACTATTTCAGCAACTAGGATTATACTGTAAGGAAGAGGCCCTTAATAATAACTTTGGAAAAACCAAAGTGATGGTCTTTAGGAAAAGGGCTCAAATATCCTCCTGGAGCATACTTGGCAACTCAATAAATCAGTGTAGTTCCTTTAAGTATTTAGGAATCACATTTAGACTTCCGGTTTTTGGCGATCGCCATGGCAGTCGCTTTCTCCTGGACCTCCGGGAGAAGCCTGCCAGCGCCCATGGCTGGGAGGGGGCGCAATCGTCCGTGCCACCCCAGGAGCCCGGGAGAAGGGCTCCCAGCCATGGGGTGCTAGAGAGCTCCCCCCGACGAAAAAAGCCGGTGGGGGGGGCTACTCCAAGCCCCGACAGTCCCACCGTGGAGCATCCCATATGGGAACAAGATCAGCACACTGTAGCAAGCGATTGGTGATCAAGGAATGTTAGACACAGGCGAGGAATTGTTGAAAATGTGAGTTTAAGTACAAATGAGAACAACAAAAAGCGTTTGGCTCCCCCGAAGGAAAACGGGGGGGGGGATGGGACTCTCCCTTGCTAAGAACTGTTTACAGGCGATTCTAGCTACAAAAAGGGGGGGTCTCTTACAAAAAGCGATTGGATTAAACTAAAGACACTGTAAGAGCTTACCGCGTTATAAAAAAACTTCCAGAGACTTTGACAAACTTTTGATAAAAGTAAACAACTCTTAAACATGGCGCCACCGAAGGATTCTAGAGACAAACAAGTGAAAGCAAGGCTCAAGGCTGCTTCCTGGAAGTTCCAGCCTTGCGAGTTCTGTCCTTAGGACTCAACTGAGGAACTCCAAAGGCTGTTGTCAGAAGCACTTCACCCTCTGCTGGAGAAAATTACGGCAATTGACAACAAGCTCAATACACAACAAAAGCAAATGGCTGCAAATACACAGAAACTCGATAAAACAGAGCAGGAGCTTAAAGAGATTTATACCAACTCAAAAAAGATGGATAAAAAACTGCAGGCACTGGGGAAAAAGTGCCAAATCGAAGAGTCTCAAGTACTACAGCTGCAAATGGAAACAGCAAGCTATGTCTTGAGACTTCAAGGTATCCAGGAAGAGAAAGGAGAGAATCTGAGACAGATTGTTGGTGACGCTCTTGCTCCCATGGCAGAGATGACATCGGATGAACTCCAAAGCGAAATAGTGACGATCAACAGATCGTATTCAGAATTTATCAGAAAGAACAATCTGCCAGGGGAAGTTACAATAAGATTCTCTTGAAGAAAAGAGAGAGACCAACTACTGAAAGCATCCAATGGAGCTACTTTGAAGATAAAAGACAAAGATATAAGAGTACTGAAGGACATTCCATTTGAGATAAGAAGGAAAAGAAGGAAATAAAAAACTTGGCCCTATTATTACAAAAACATGATGTTGCCTACAGATGGTTAACACCTGAGGGTCTAATCTTTAGATATGCAAATGGTAAAGAAAGGATTGACTCTGTTGAAAAGGCTTGTGAGTTTTTGTGTCAACACAGCAGTCCAGCAGGAGAAGGTGCGACCGAAGATATCAAAGAGAGTGTAGAAGAAGGAGAGGCTGGATCTTCTGAGGAAGACTCTGACTCTAAATTGGGGGCGGTGGATCCTAAACAAAGCTATCAGTTGAGACATAGAGAGGGGAAGAAATAGATTGTTAGTGGAATACCTAAAAATAAGTTTATTATATATCGTTCTACAGCCTTTTATGAAACCAGAAATGTTGATGAAGCATTTAAATGATTAAATAGGTAGATGATGATTTTCAACAAAAGTTAACTTGTTTTTAAGTTTAAAGGTAACTTTGTAAATGTTTGCATGATCACCATCTCTTGGGTTTTTAGAGGGTTTTCTTTACTTTCTCCCATAGATGTAGTTCCTCTTTCCTGAATTTTCTGTTTGTAGTTTTTAGTATGTAGATATTAGAAAATGCAATAAAAAACATCCCCTTCGGGGGGTACAAAAAAAAAAAAGGAATCACATTTAGAGAGAATTAGAACTGGAATGTTCATATTGCCACAGTAAGAGCATCTGCGACAAGGATTGTGGGGTCTTATTTTGAGGTTTTACTATACTAAGGGTGGCTTTCTTATTGATCCTGTTTTAAAATTATTCAAAAGTAGAGTCATCCCTCACTAGTATTGAAACAATTCAAAATCAGTTTTTAAGGCATATCCTGGCTCTTCCTAAGGGAATGCCAGTCACCCTGATGAGAGCAGAAACTGGCCTTCTTTCCTTAAGGGTGAGGGTGCACCTTGCTGTTCTAAAATCTTGGGGTGGGTGGGAACAGAGCTGCCAGTTCTGACTAATTCAGTCAACTGGCATTTAAATCAATGTTATCAAAAGACTTGGAACATTCTTATTCTTTTAATAATCTATTATCTTTTTTAAAAAATAATGTTATTTAAGTTTGAGTGCAAACAAAAGAAATTCAACAACTAAATCAGATCTGTGGCAGACAGCTCAGTCCCCGTTTCCAACTGTCAGCATAGGAACATATGCAAGTCTCTGGAGAGATGGCTTATTAATTTTCTAAATTAAAAAAATGTTACAGATATGCACCAAGTGAGCATGCTTAGGATCTATAGCTTCTCTTCTGTAACTGAATCTAAAATTCTGATAGTTCTAACCTCAAGGTTTCTGTGATAGCAGAGGCCTGAAACATGACAATAGCTGTTCTGTGGGCATAATGAGTTTCTACTTATAATTGCAAAAGAAGTGTATCTGGGATGGGCATTTGCAATAGTAATAATTACAATAGTAATAATAATAGTGTTAAAATGCTATAATTTTTTATCCTATGTTTATGAGAACACTGTGGTGTGATTATAATATTGGTCTAGGGTCTGTAAGACTCAGGTTCAAATCCCCAGTCTGCCATGGAAGCTTGCTGGGTGACCTTGGACCAGTCCCAAATACTCAAGCTAACCTACCTTACAGGGCTGTGAAGATACAATGGGGGAGAGGAGAGCAGTCTAAGTGCTCTGTTGAAATTTCTGTGACATGTTTTGGCAAAGGCAAGAAGTGATTTTGGGGGTGGGCTTTGTGGTTTGTGCTTTAATCTTCTCATGTTAACTATGGCAGTTATGTATATGAAGAATGATGTTGCTCAGGTCGGTGCATGCTATCTGTAATACACAGAAGTTTTTGAATCCTTGGGGGAAGTATAATACAATAATTGTATAAAGAATACTATGGCATTGGTTATTTTAACTCATTTCTATGGGTCACTGTGGTAAGGTTGGTATTTGATCAATGGGCTGGTCAGATACTTGAAAATAATAATAAAGTATTTAAAGCATGAAGTTATTAATTAGAAAACAGTAACTGTTGCTTTTTGAAAGAATGCAGCCCCTCCCAGAAACTTTACAAAGCTCTGTGCCCAGATCACATGGAGGCTTCTTCTCACTACAGTCCTCACGGTGGTTGTCCTGATTCTTGGTACTGATGACCTGTGTAAGGTTGCTGGAAATAGTCTTGTCTCCTTACCATTCCATCTCTTACCAGGACCTCTGCTCCCAGCCAGTCTCAGACATACCCCATTCCTGGTTAACGTCCAAGAGCCATCCAGACTTTTACACCCTCTTACCCAAGACTTTCCATAGCTTTGTTCTCAGTGGCATTCCCCATTTCTCCTCTGTTTCTCAGTGAGGAGTTCAACTTTGGCCATTTCTCCCCTTTGCCTCCTCCGTTTCCATTTGCACCCCAAATTGTTCTCTATAAGCTTTAGCTTGACAGAGCTCCTTTGTCTACTCTCATTGACTTTCACCTCCCTTTCTCTCGAAAATCTCTCCTGCTCCTTCTGTAACAGTGATAGTCTGTCTTCAAACATTCTTTAGGCTAGAAGCTGACCATAAAAACAGCTTAAAAATAAAAGCCAGGATAAAAAATTGTTTTGGCCTAGTGTTTAATGAAGAGTAAGGTAGGTGTCATGAGTGACCTCTGCAGGGCTGAGAATCAAAGCTCTCCTGTCATTGCAAAAGTAGGCTGCTGTTTACTCAGTGACATTCTTGAATTTGTGGAATATTTGACAATATTTTATCACAGTCAGATAATAATGTTCAAGTGACAATTTGATAGGTAATTGACTGGTATCCTAATCCTAAAACTAGAAAGTTGTGTGTATCTACCTACTTATATTTTACCTTAGAATGTGATAATAAAGTTGTGCCTCTTTCTCTTTGCAGCCTAAAATGACTACTGTATAGATGTTATAGCATAAATGGCGTCCAAAGTAACAGATGCTATAGTCTGGTACCAGAAGAAGGTAAGGGTGTTTGTTTGTTTTTAAAGTAAAAAGGCATGTTTTGGGTTCGTTTTGTTACTAGCTTGCCAACTATTTGCTGGTGCTCCCCCGGACCCCATGTTACTTCTTGCTTATGCTCACATGAGTTGTATTTCCTCTTGCAGCCTTGGGGAAAGCTCCAACTGCGTGAGGAGGAATCTGCTTTGGATTTAGTCTGCTTGGTGCATGGCTAATGAGAGCAAGTGCAGGGCAGGCTCTAAGGATTTTAGAGAGAAAACGTTATGATTGGATTGCAGTGCACGGGTGAAACTCTTGTTCCCTTCTAATCTTAAAATGTAGCTTCTTAAGATTAAGAAGAAGGGAGAATCCTGCAGATCTGTCCTTACAGCAGAGAGGACTACTTAAGTTATTTATAGACTACTGGAGGGTAGCCATAGTTCAGGCTTGAAATCTTGGAAAGCTGTTGCCATTGATAATACTGGAGTAAATGGATCAGTTAGGAGTTAATTTGTTGCCATCACAAATGCATTATTGCACTCTTACAAGTCAGTATTGCTGATGCAGCCACCCAGCTTTCTCCCTCTGCCTCTGTTTTCCTCTTTTGTTGAACCCATTTGCTGCTTGTGAGCAACCTCATCTTCCTTTCTTCAGGGGTAGAGTAAAGATATGCAGTAACTGCAGTTCTACGTCAGATGTATTGGTCAGGTTCAATGGGAACCAGGCACACTGCTACTCTTCATTTTATCGTCATTCAATAAATGCTTCACTTAGACAAAGGTACATGGCAGTTAGGCCAAGAAATTCCCCGAGCATCCTGGGAACTTCAGAATGGTGTAGTTTTTTGTCCTTTGCAAAGGGAAAGGGAAAGTATTAGAAAACATTCATCAAATTGTTCCTGTTAGGGTGAGAACAGCTGGAATAGATGTGAAGAAACATTTTTTAAACCTATATTTGGAATGTGCCATAGTTCAGTTGCTTGTAATTGTCATTTAAAAGAAAAAATAGCAATTTAGTAGTTATACTAAGCATGTTTTTATTCCTTCCATTAGTTATGAAATGGCACCATTGCTAAAACATGACAATTAGTTCTGAATATTGAATTTTTAAATGTTGCATAAAACTGATCATTGTTCGATTTTGGGAAAAGACTTTGAACTGGTGATATTTTAAAGGGGGGAACTATTATGGTAAAACTGTCAAATATGAGGTGGATACAATAAAAATTGGATTTGGTAAATTTGTTCTCATGGTTTAACAAGAGGCACTGACAAGAATTACAGTAGGGAAGTTCTTGCTCTTGTATGGTAGCAGTAATGTGCTTCCTGCTCTTCTGATGCATGAAACAATCCAGAAGGAGGCTTAGTTTCCTTCTGGTTATTCTGAATACCAGAGATTCAAATATAGTCGTTTTATTAACTAATGTACAAGCACAGAGTAGGTGAAGGCAAAGATTACATCCCCCCTGAGAGAGGTCATAAGGTGAAACACTTCATATTCAGCCAACTCTCTTTACTGCCCTGTTTTTCTTTCTTGACTCCAAATTCAGAGCTACTGTTTCACACAGTCTGACAAGCGCTCCTGTCAGATCTAGCTCCTGCTGATAAATTGCCAAGTCAGGACAATCCTCAGCCTTAAACCAAATATTAAAAGTATTTTGTCAAATTCAGGAAGCAACATTTTCAAGCAAGCCATAACAAAAGACTCATTCATAGTAACTGGACAGCAAACTCTTGTCTTACATCATTAGTTTAATTTATAATTTTATTAATTTTTAATTAAAAATTGTTTATTAATCACAAACTACTTTTTCTTAGATTCAGGTGGGTAGCCATGTTGGTCTGAAGCAGCAAAACAAAGTTTGAGTCCAGAGACACCTTTAAGACTAATAAAGTTTGATTCTGGGTACAAGCTTTCATGTGCATGCACACTAATGTGCTGATGTGAAGTGTGCATGCACATGAAAGCTAATACCCAGAATTAAACTTTGTTGGGTATCTGATGAAGTGTGCATGCACATGGAAGCTCATATGCAGAAGTAAATTTTGTTGGTCTTAAAGGTGCTACTGGACTCAAACTTTGTTTTAAGTTTTTCTTAGTTATGCTTTGTTATATGGCATTTGAAAAATTTTGTAGTCTTATATGAGAGAATCACTCTGTTGATACTTATGAAATACTTATTTTTAGCCTAGCTGATCTTTGAGGAGAAAATGCAAATGCAGTTTTTGTACGCAGAGGCGGGGGGGGGGCACATACAATTTTTTCTTTTTTTATTGCCTGCAATTACTGTTCTTGGGTGTGATGAAGCAAGAATATCCTAAGATGGGGACATACTTCTGTTAGCAATGCAAGTAAAGAAATTAATATCATCTGTATGTATATGGAATATACAAAAATTTCTTAGAGATCTGAGTATTAGTCAAGGAGATATTAGCTTTGGAAAAAGTTTCCCATCCAGACAAACAAACATGACTGATCTCATGCTATAACTAATACTATCATCATCATTCTGTGAATCTGAAATAAATACACCAGACTTTTTAATGTATTTTTCTGGTTGTAAATCTTTACCTTACATCTTCATATCTTGTATGAGAAAAGTCTAACAAAGATTACTTGAGAAGGGGATGTTTTTGCCATAGGTGATGGGGAGGTCAGGCCAAAATGAGTGTGATGGGACTTGCATCCTCAGCATTTTGTTTTTAGGTTGGAAAGGACCTTGGGGGGGACACAAAGCTGGCAAGATGTAGCTTCAGAAGCCTGAGCCTTAACAATGACACTTAGTGTCAATGACACTGAAAACACTGTACTTTGCATGGTGTGGGAGTGAGCATTTTTGCGAGTCTGCTACACACTGAGGAGGAAGGAAGGTCATTGAAGCTAGTACATCTCTTGCTGAATAAAAGTGTTTTTGGGGAAACAACCACATCAAACTAATAACTTAGCATTTATATATTGATTTTTTAGTAGTTGAAGCACTTGAAGCATGTTACCTCAATCCTTTTACATACTCAAGTATGTAAAATAGGCTAGTTTGGTGCAGTGGTTAGGTGCACGGACTCTAATCTGGGAGAACTGGGTTTGATTCCCCACTCCTCCACTTGCAGCTGCTGGATGACCTTGGGCAAGTCATAGTTCTGTCAGAGCTGTTCTCTCAAGGACAGTTCTGGAAAGAGCTCTCTCAGCCCCACCTACCTCACAGGGTTTCTGTTGTGGGGAGGGGAAGGGAAAGGAGTTTGTAAGCCTCTCTGAGACTCCCGAGTGAAGAGCAGGGTATAAATCCAATCTCCTCCTCCTCCTCCCATTGTGGGATGGGGGTGGGGTAAGGTTGAGAGACTGGTTTGCCTAAGGTTATCTATTTAGTTCATGGTAGAGGTGAGATGTGTACCATGGACTTCCTAATTCATATTTCAGTTTGTTTGTTACTACCTTTCATTAGTTCTAAAAAGCATTTCTCTACATTGGAGAGCTGAACTGGTCTCCCTTGTAAAAATTGCCCAAAACATCAGTAGTGTAATACCTTTTTAACACTTCTGGGTTTTTTTGGAATTTTACTATGGGCTGTCATAGGTACCTGCAGTCTCTCTCATGAAAGATATTAATACTTAGCATTACATTTAACGGGTGTTTTTTAAATTGCTGAGATATTTCTTTGTCAACGTCAAGTGTTTGTTAGTTTGACTCAAAGTTGAACATCACTTCAGGGGAATGGTTGTAATGTAAGAACAAGTGCTTACATTTTATGGATACACCCGGTATTCTTTAGCCTTCCTTAGGAATTCCATTCATTATGACTTAAAAATGTTTGTATGCTGAAATTCTACCCTTTCCCTAATCTAAATGCTATCTTGAATGTATTGCTCTTGAATACAAGATTTCCTCTTTCTTATGTCAGCACAGGTGGCTCAGAGGTTAAGACACTGAGCTGCAGACCAGAAGGTCTGTAGCTTGGCAGTTTGAGGCCCTAATGTTGCGTGACGGAGTGAGCTTGCGTCTCTGGCCCCAGCTCCTGCCAACCGAGCAGTTCGAAAGCAAGAAATTGCAAGTAGATAAATAGGTACCACTTTAGTGGGAAGGTAACAGCATTCTGTGCACCTTGGCGTTTGTTCATGCTGGCCATATGACCACGGAAACGTCTTCGGACACTGCTGGCTCTTCAGCTTGGAAACGGAGATGAGCACTGCCCCCTAGAATCAGATTTGACTGGCTTTCGAGCAAGGGGAAACCTTTACCTTTATGTCAGCACAAGCAACAGCTTACTGAAAATAATTCTTGTTTTGACCATCCATATCTTCTGCAGAGTCTTGTGGTCACTTAAAAGTCTAACAAATTTATTGTGGTCTAAGCTTTTATGAACCAGAGGCCACTTCGTCAGATGCATGTAGTGTTATATTCAGTGGGCAGAAATATAGGTAAAAAAAGGCACAGGAAGAGGAGTTGAGAGAGAGTTATTACAAAGAGTAGCCTGGAAATACAGATTTGACTATCAGACCTGGGCTCAGTAGGAACTGGGAGTGGCTAGCTCAGAAAATAACTGTACTTCCTTACAGTTTCATCTTACTGTGCCAATTAATCATGAGTTGGGAGTGTCCACACCCACTTCGCCTGTATCATTTACACTTTTGACAGGATCTTGTTTTCATCTGTGTGCTTCAATGTAATGTAACACGTCTATGTTTTGGAATGAATGACTTTCTGTATTCTCTTTGTAATAAATCCTCTCCCCCACCCTTATTTTGTTTGTATCCTAGTATGCATATGCCTCTGTCTCCTGAAACTTGGGCTCTGATTCATAAAAGTTCATCCCACAACAAATTTGTCAGTCTCTAAATTGTCACAAGCCACTGTTGTATTGGCTGCAGCAGACAAATTCTTCTGGAATGTGTCATGGTGTTATTCAGTACCTATCTTTTGTGACAAAAAGAGCTCAGCTAAAATTTGAAGTGTGTTGGTTTACAATTTCGCTGAGAGATGTAGAATTTTTTTTAAAAAGAAGTCGTTTCAAACAGTAGGCTATAGATAAA